GGAAACCACTATTCTGAGTTCAGGCAGCACGACAAGCCATGGTGGCATGGAGAAAACATAGAAATACAGAAACATTGTTTCTTATGGTTTGTAAAGTTCAAACTCATCATGAGGAAATATCATGACAGTTTAGACACAAGAGACCAGCAATGGAATCCCACCTCCCTATCATGGCTTGCATGTTGTCTGAATTCAGCTAGATTGGAATACTGAAACACTGGTAATATCAGATTATTCCCCAGTTTGCTTGGACTTGAACTGCACAAACAGCCCAGGTCATACCAGTATTTGATGTTTAGTATTTCTTTGTTAAATGATGAGTTTTTAAAAAATCAGATTCTTGCTGAACTACAGGAGTATTTTGAAGCAAGGAGAGTACAACCGACTCATGCTTAAACAAGTGGGATGCCCGTAAAGGTTTTATCCAGGGTTGAAATGGCTTGTGCTTCTTATAAACATAAATTGAAAAAGAAGCAACAAACAACTTTAAGTGATAACTGCGCAACTTTATCAGGAGGTGCATCATATGGAATATTTTCGAATATACTGTGTGTGTGTGTGTGTGTGTGTGTGTGTGTGTGTGTGTGTGGAGAAAGTGAATGTCCCAGGAAGATTTCAGCTCATTGGTTTAGACAACAAAACCAACAAAATATTATTTTGTAGATTAAAGATGATAGTGGCAAGATAATACTCATCCTGTAGGTATTGATTTTTAATTTTAACATTCTATTTAGAACTGTATAGCAGAGGTTGTGAAATATTAGAGCAGGGCATGGATGCTTTTTTTCCCTTCAGGTTAATCTTCCCTGTCTAGATATGTCACAAAGACAGCCTTTGATGGTCCCTCTGTGTATTGAAGAAATTATGAAAGTAATAACTAACATGAAAAAGGAGACATCACCCACTCATTCAATGGAATGGTGTAAAACATTTTCCAGATTCTTAGCTCCTGAGCTTTGTCACTTGTAAAACCCTATTTTTAATTGAGTTCTCTTCTATCAGCACTCAGTGATGCTTACATTACTATAATTTCTAAACCAGAGAACGCCCTGAACGAGAAACCATCACTTTATGGCAGAATTCAGATTTAAAGTTTGGCAAGAAAATGTTTGTTTGGTGGACTTGGGCTGCATTTTCCATTGGATGGGCTTGTGGGTCCCGATGATAACTTTCTGCCATTTTCCACTTGGTGTGCTAACTGTAAATCTCCAGCTATGGCTGAATGGCAATAGATGCAATGGAACTGTTTGTTAGAATCCAGACTTGGTTCTGCTGCTTTATTACAGCTTCAGAGCTGCTTGTGTTACTGGAAGTGACGCTAAACCATACATTGGAATACAATCTATGTGTATAAATACTTCTTATCTGCGAATAAACAAGCAAGTATGCAATAATGAATTGGAACATATTCATTATTGCCTAGTGTTTGCCTAGTCCATGGTATTTTTAACTGTCATCTATTTTGGCGGGGTAATGGATCTTAGGCCAAGTCTAATTCAGGGAAAAAGTGAAGTTTCACATGTATTGGATGCCACAATGTCATTTTGATAAAGGCTTTATTAAATCAGCCAGTGATTGGAGGTGCAATGCAGCTAATGCCTCTCTTCTTTGTATGTTTTGGCAATGCCCCCTGGCTGGGTCCTTTTTGGAGATGCTAATAATTTGGATAAATGCTGTGATGGAAAGTTCTATAATATGCAATGCTTCACATGTCTTTCTTAATTAGCTACTTGTCTCTTGGAATTTCAAGCAAGGTCAGCTCAAATGGATTTTACAGACCTTTAGACAGCTAAAGGACTTGTACTACGTTATTGGAAGGATAAACAATCACCTGCAATAAAAGACTGGGTGGAGGACTTAATGAAATCCTCCATTTTGAACAAGCAGGGCTCCGCTGGGACATGAGAAACCCTGACAGTGCTTCAGCCATTCCTCCTCAAGAGCAGGGATAAAACACTTAGAGAGACAACTGGAGGGCAAGGGAAGCACAGAGAAAGCTTTCCCTTGGATGCTTGTAGTCCTGCATGTTTGGAGGCTTATGGGCAGCCGCTTCACATGGTGCTGCCATGCACTGTAACTTACAGCTGCCATGATAAAATGTTTCTTTAACAGGCAGGTATTTGCCCTTTGCCAAGACAACCTGCTGCCAAAAGGAGAAAACTGGTTGTGTTCAAAGCAGTTGGAACCCATTCTGGAGTTGCTGTTGTATCTCTGAAGCTGCCTCTATGAGAGGACGGCAGGACTCAGGGATGCTTTGTGAACAGATCTGGTTCCCCCAAAAGCATCATTAATAGGAGTTAGTACAGCTTCGTATGGAAATTTAAATGACTCATGTTTTTATAATTTGTTCTGGGCACTGTTTACAATGAGACCAAACCTAATTGCATGAGTACTGAAGTGTTCTATAAACACCAAAAGGCTCTTAAAACCCTAAGAAAGAACTAGCATGCTCAGGAAATATTTAAATAGGTATGTGAGTAAAAGGTTAGAGAGGCATTGTTTAAAAACTATTCACTACTGAAACGTGTTAGTAAACAAGATGCTAAGAGTTTGTGATTCATTTTTTAAAAACCTACTATACAAAGACGCAGGGGTAACAGCCTTGGAAAGAGCATTTTTCTACCGATCCAGAGCACAGACAGAACAATGGGGCAAGGGGAATGCAAAGGCCGTCAGAAATGCCAAAGGACACATGCCACAGGACTGACCAAATCAAGCACAAGCCTTGAAATGCTGAGGGTGTTGCTGAGAAAGCATGATAAATGCCAGTCTGGGAAAGAAATCAGGAGAGCAGAGGAGGAGCGTGCAATAAAATATGAAACAACACATCAAACATTTTGTGGAAGGGTGGCAGGAAGCAGGTAAAAGGTGCTGGAGGAGAGTGCATTCGATTCGAAGAGGCAGTTCTAGGTTGGAGGCAAGCATGGAGCAAAACCCTTTAGTGTCCTATACAGAATTGCACCCTAGAAGGGCTCCTGTGCTTTTTAGAAAGGACGTCTCCAGAGGTGGAGAAACTGGGCACTGCAAGCCAAGCCATGTAGCTCTGAAGTTTGTCAACTGAAGCTGAGTTTATGTCTGAATTAGCAAACGTTGCCCAGGAGGCATCTATACTGGAATTCCTTCTGTGCAGGAGGGGGCAGCATCTTGGAATTAATGCAAAACACACTGAGCACAATTGGGGAAAATCCTAAAGTCTGCTTCCATTGTGATCGTGTGTCATGTGTCAAAATGCAATGCCATGTCTCCTCTGGAGGTGGAAAAGTGAAGCATGGAAGGAAACAGCCCTTTGCAAACAAACCCATTAGCTAGGTGCAAGTGTGAAGTAGCGGAGACTTTGCAAACAAGAGAGAAAACCCACTGCTCCCTCTGTTCCTGCCCCAAAAGAGAGAGAGAGAGAGAGAGAGAGAGAGAGAGAGAGAGAGAGAGAGAGAGAAGTCACTGAGAAGGAAAAGGGCAGCAGCAACGGGGAGGTTCTTGAATTTAACACGCTATGGAACAGCAAGCAATCCCCTCTCCCATACTCATCTTCCCAAGAGTAAGACCTGTGGAAGTCAGTGTCATTTACTTGTGAATAAGGCCACTGAAGGTAATGTGATTTCCTTCTGAGTAGACACATGTTTCAGCTAGCTGTTTCTTGAGGCAAGAGAGCAGAGGAGACCATCAAGAAGGCTCAGAAAGACATTGCAAACTGTTTTGTCCCCAAAGAATGAGCACTGCTTTTACAAGTCAAAGAAGGAAGGTGTGAGATGAGGAAGGAAGGCACAAGGACAACTGAAGGATCTCCTGCTGTTGTTTTCTTGAAGCCCCAGTAAGCCTTTGCTTCTTCCCTGCCAACCCCGGTCCCAGGACAGTACCACAAGTGTAGCACACCCTGATACTAGGGAAAAACTGAAACATAACCCGAAAGTCATGATGTAATGGAGGCAGGATATACTGGCAGAAATGGTGTGAAGAGGAGCAGTTAGGATGGGTTTTCTGTGCCGTGCCAGTTAGCTAGGCACTGCATTGCCAGTAAAATTGCCCTGTGTAGTCAGCTCCTAAGTTCTTCAGATCCTAAGTAAAATGTGTCATGTCCCCACCGGAGTTAGGCTCCAGGTTCCAATGGTCTGGGAGCAGACCGAGAGCCATGGGAAGCAAGGGGAAAGCTTCAGCAGGCAACACTGCTGGTTCTATGATGTTTACATCTTTTACATGGAAGTAGCCAGGTCACATATTAATTATTATGGCTTTCCCCAAAGAAAAGTGGGATTTTGTGTGGTTTGACGTTTGGGATTGTTTTAGAATAGTTTTGGAATTTCCTGAAGATTTCCCATTCCCTTCACAGAATTGGCATTCCTCATGTTCCCTTTTGTCGAGCAAGATTGTTGAAGTAGTTGAGGCTACAATTTTAATTACCTTTACGAGATGTTTCAGCTCAAACTCTTGGCTTTCAAAGGACACTAAGATCTGTAGTTAACTTCCTTTTCTGCCTTTGGGGTACAGAAATACACTGCAGAACTATTCTTGTGCAAATTTTGAGACTTTTTTATTACCACCAATATATTTCAATGTATAGAAAGTAAGTTAAAAAAAGCAGGATGCTGGAATTTGGAGACATTTCTATTAGTCTCTAAGAATTATATTATAGGTCGTAGAAGAAGTAGATCATGGATCTACTTACATATAAATTACACAATAGAATGTGAGCCTGGAGGAGGCTAGTTATCCTAACATGTGGGAAGAATCAAAATTGTAAGTAAGAGAAATAGAAAGAAGATTGCTAAGTCACTTTCTACATTTAAAATATCAGCAGAAATCTTTAGCCCCTCTGCAAGGAGAAAATGATTTGAAATCCTCACCTCCCCAGATTTTTTTGCCAGGATTTTCATTTTGCCCCCACCTGCCATGAACGGCCACAAAGGAAGAATCAAAATATTTGGCAGAACAGCAGCTTAGAGCATTCCGTCAAAGGACAGTGAGAAAAATGATCTTTTGGGAGGTTTAATTCCCTGCCTACTTACACGTTTAGTGGTTGCCAGGCAGGCCATTGTGCTTTTGCTTTGATGACAGTCAAAACCTCATCACTCTGCAAAAGAGAAGCAATAAACATCAATAAATAAAATGATGTTTGGACAGCATTATGGTGAATAACACTCTGCAGTGATTTGTAACCAGTGGAAAAGGCACTTGAATTCAAATTGCTCCTCATAATTTCTATGAAGGGAGATAGTTCATCCCGTTTCCTATTCAGGAAGTGTATTTCCTCCTTTGTGTGGCATTGAGGAATGATTCTAGCATAATGTTATTACTCACAGGATGACTTTCTTATGTATACGTGCCCACCACAGGATCAATTCAAAAAGTCATCCTTTCTGATTTACAATTGCTTTTCCCATGCTAACTTTTTCAAGGATAATCTTACCATGAGCGCAATCCAAATTGCCTCTTTGGTTCTGGTCAGAGGTTGTTATCATTAATATTATTAATTGCTTTTCTATACCGACCAATAGCCAAAGCTTTCTGGATAGGTCACAACAATTTGTCAAAGTACAATTATAAAAATAGATAAAATAAAACACAGTGTAAAATTCCAATGTACAAAGTTTAGAACAGTTTAAATAGCTGAAACAATTTCAATAAAAAACTTGCCTATTAAAACTGTTGACATATCCCATTATCCGCTATGCCTGGAAGCAAAGCATAGTTTTAATCTGATGCTGGAAAGATGGCAGTGTTAGCACTAGGTGGGCCTCAGTGGGGAGAACAATTCATAATTAGGAGCCACCACTGAAGAATCACTCCTTCCTTGGAAGAGAAAATTGGAGGGTGGCCTCAGATACAAATTGTAGTGCCTGAGTAGGTTAAGAGAAGCCTTTTGCTTGGTATTGAGATCCCAACCGTGTAGACCTTTATAGGTGAAAATCAGTACCTTCAGTCAGGCTTATCAGTATATAGGCAGCCAATGCAAGCAGCCGCAATTGGTCTTTTATGTTCAGACCCTCTGGTTCCAGTTATTAATTTGGTGGTTGGATTTTGCACAACAGCCTTCAAGGGCAGCCCCATATAGAGTGCATTGGGGTAATCTAGTTCAGAGTTTTCCAGAGCATAGATCACATGTCCATATGGAATATAGCTGGCCACCAGCCAAAGCTGGGAGAAGGAACTCAGTGACATTGAAACAAACCTGAGATTGAACTGGCAAAGATGGATCAGGGGAAGCTCTAGCTTTGAACCTGATCCATTATGGGGAGTACAACTCCATCCAGAAAAGGCTGTCCTCCCTCTGACCAGTCAGAAGAACTGCTCACTAACAGCATCACAGACTTGTCTGGATTAGGCTTCAATTTATTAGCCCTCATCCAGTCCTTTGCAGCCAGAGACCAGTTTAGCACATCCACAACTTTGCTTGATGAGGATGAAAAGGAGAAATAGAGCTGTGGATTGTCAGGATAGCTCCAGCAGTCCCCACTCAGCAGTTTCACAGGAACCTTGTACTAGAATATCCACAGAACTGAGCAATATTCCCCAAGTGCCACCCTCTGGAGCTGACCATTCAAGGAGGAGCATAACTACTGTAATGCAGTTACCGGCCACCCCCAGCTCAGACAGAAGGATGCCCTGGTTGATGGAATCAAAAGCACAGACAGACTAGGAGTATCAACAGTATCTCACTCCTACTCATTCTCTCTCTCCCAATCTAGTCCTCATAAAAGGTGATGAAAGCTGTTTCTCTGCCAAAACCTGGCCTGAACACTGACCAAAATGGATCCAAATAATTAGCCTTATCCAAGAATGTCTGAAACTGGTTGGCCATTACCTGTTTAAGCACCTTGCTTCTACCAGTGACCTAAAGCTGTTGGGATCTTGTGCATCCAGGGAGTGGTTCTTCAAGAGTAAGCTCACCACTGCTCTTTCAGATAGTGTGGGGGGCCTTCCTCTTGAAAGGAGGAAATAATCATATCCCTGGCCCAGCCAGATGGTCTCTCTCTCCTGGTTTCTATTACCCAAGAAGAACACAGATCCAGAATGGAGGTGGCTTCACAGATCTGGCCTGGCACTTTGTCAATACTCCTGAAGCTGTACTAACTCTAATTCATCCAGCAAACCAGACCAGGCTCTGCTCTTGGAACCTCGCATGATTCAACTGGTATCATACTGGAGTCTATATCCGGGGAATTGCAAGTGACTTTATCCTGGAAATGCCCAGCAAATTCATCACAGTGGGTCACAGAGGGGCCTACACCATCCTTACCGTTAGCATATAATAGACCCTGGGTGAGCAGATAGAAGGCTGAATCGAGGAAGTGTTTCTTTCTTGTCCTCACTGCCCCCAGGCATACCTGATTATGGGCCCATACCAGGGATTGATTGCATCCATTGGGAGTTTTCCTCCATCTGGACTCAAGCCATCTTCTTTTATTTCATCACTATCAGTGAGAAGTTCTACTACAGTGCTGGTCCCCAGCTCACTACTCTTCCTCAATGTCCCAGCAAACACCCAACCATTCCCTAGCTCACTCCAGCAGGCGGAAGCTGATCTTCCAGTTACCTTCCAGTTGCCAAGATCACTTCTAAAACCTATTTCTGATCCTTTGGGCAGCTTGGATGGTACAGAAAGGCTCCTGTGCTGGATGGGTGTCACAAGTGAATCCAGCAAAACTGCAGGTAAATGCTTTGGAAAACAGATAAACTTAAGCTTGTCAGGCTTCCATCTTGAAGTTTGTTCTGACTCCTCTCTATATTTATTTATTTAAAACATTTCTATGCCGCCCCCATCGCAACAAAGCCTCGGGGCGGCTCACAACAAAAACAAAACATACAAAATTATACAAAAATTATACACTAAAAATATTAAAACCCGGTGCATCTTGGCTTAAAATTTTTTTAAATCCTACATAATAAATTAACACTTAAAATACGTTTTAAATAAAAAGGTCTTAGCCTGGCGCCGAAAAACAAATAACGACGGCGCCAGGTGGACCTCTCTGGGGAGCGCATTCCATAGGTGGGGCGCCACCGCAGAGAAGGCCCTCCTCCGGGTACCCACCCTCCTAATATCCTTCACAGAGGGTTCCCGGAGAAGGGCATCTGTTGCTGATCTCAAGAGGGGGGAGGGCATATATGGACGAAAGCGTTCCTTTAGATACCCAGGGCCCAAGCCGTTGAGGGCTTTATAGGTCATAACCAACACCTTGAATTGGGCCCAGACTTCAATCGGGAGCCAGTGGAGCTGACGGAGAACTGGGGTTATATGAGAACAAAGCCCAGTCCCCATCAGCAGCCTGGGAGCTCTATTCTGCACCAATTGAAGTATCCGGACCATCTTCAAGGGTATACTCATGTAGAGCGCGTTGCAGTAATCTAATCGGGAAGTTACCAACGCGTGTGTCACTGTCGCCAGGCAATCGTTCTCCAGGAAGGGACGCAGCTGATGGATCAGCCGAAGCTGAAGGAAAGTGCTCCTCACCACCGCCATCACCTGGGCTTCTAAAGACAGTTAGGGTCGAGGAGCACTCCTAAGCTGTGAACCCTGTCCCTCAGAGGGAGCGCAACCCCATTTAGGACAAGGCCTAAGTCCCCCATCCCGAGTCCCGAACCACCCACCAACAAGACCTCCGTCTTGTCTGGATTGAGCTTCAGTTTATTGGCCCTCATCCAGCCCATTACCTCGGCCAGGCACTGGTTCAGCACAGCCACTGCCTCACCTGGATTGGTGGAAAACGAGAGGTAGAGCTGGGTATCATCAGCGTACTGATGATTCCACAGCCCACACCTCCTGATGACCTCTCCCAGCGGTTTCATGTAGATGTTGAATAGCAAGGGGGATAAAATGGACCCCTGCAGAACTCCATGGCATTGCTGCCATGGCGCAGAGCCATAGTCCCCCAGCACCACCTTCTGAAATCGGCTGCTGAGATAGGAGTGGAACCACAGCCACGCGGTGCCTCCAACTCCCAATCCTGCCAGCCTATTCAGAAGGATACCATGGTCGATGGTATCGAAAGCCGCTGAGAGGTCCAGGAGAACTAACAGAGATGCACTCCCCCTGTCCTTCTCCCTGCACAGGTCATCGTACAGGGCGACCAAGGCAGATTCAGTGCCGTACCCGGGTCTGAAGCCGGACTGAAATGGGTCCAGATAATCAGTTTCATCCAAGAATGCTTGGAGTTGTCCCGCCACCACCCGCTCTAGCACCTTGCCCAGGAATGGGATGTTGGCCACCGGTCTATAATTGGCGGCCATCTCTGGATCCAGGGGTGCCTTCTTTAGGACTGGTTGGACTACCGCCTAAACGGTACCCGACCGTCTCTTAAAGAGGCGTTGACCACCTCCAGGATCCAGGTGCCAATCCCGTCCATGGCTTTCTTAAGTAGCCAGGATGGGCATGGGTCTAGCAAGCAGGTGGTAGGGCATACTTGTCCAAGCAACTTGTCCACATCATCAGGCCTCAACAACTGAAATTCATCCATTAATTGTGGACTCGACGGCATCGTTGGCATTTCCTCAGTAGAATCTGGTTCAATAGTAGAGTCAAGCTCGTGACGAATCTGAGTGATTTTCTCCCTGAAATGCCTGGCAAAGTCATCACAGCGGGCCTTTGAGGGTGGTATGAGTTCTTTCTTTGGGCCCGGATGTATCAGCCCTTGCACCACCCGAAAGAGCTCCACCGGACGGCATTGTGAGGAGGCAATGGAAGCGGAGAAGAATTTCTTCTTCGCCGTCCTCACTGCCACAGCATAGGCCCGATAATGGGCTCTTCAGTGTGTTCGGTCAGATTCACCCCGTGATCTCCTCCACCTACGCTCTAGATGTCTCCCAACCTGCTTCATCACCCGTAATTCAGGTGTATACCAAGGAGATGAACGGGCTCTGTCAGGTGGGGGAGGACGCTTGGGAGCGATCGTGTCAATAGCCCTAGTCATCTCCCCATTCCACAATTCAGCCAGGGCATCGACAGGATCACCAGCCTTGTCAACCGGAAAATCCCGCAGAGCTTTCAGGAATCCATCAGGATCCATCCGGCTCTGGGGGAGGACCAATGCAATCTGATCCACACCCTTACAGAGGGAAAGGCTGCTCTCGAGC